AAATGGGTTTAATAATTTATATAATTTACAGCATTTGTCTTTGAGTGCAAACAAAATACAGTTTATCGCCGATAAGGCCATTAATTTTGAGCGTAACTCAAATATGAAATTGTATTTTAATCTAGTTAATAATAATTTTGATAATACTACAATTAGGCCAGAGGTGTTTAATGGGCTAAGTAAACGACATAGACCCATCACGATTGATCTAGATCAAACTGGGCTTGACAAACTTAACGAAACAGAATATCGTAGGTTTTTGGCTATTAATATTGAAAATAAATTCTATGTTAACGATATTAGTTGTTCGCCATGTAATAATGCATGGTTAATAACACATGATAATAAATCATATGTTACGCGCAACATGGCCGATCAATGCATGCTCAATTAATATTATCAATTGAATTTATTAATTAATTATAAATTTATTAAAATGTCATTTAATTGATTAAACAACGTGTAATTTAATATTATTTTCAATTACGTTATCTGTCAATCAGATGCGATATAAACAATTATAGTAAATTATTTTAATATTTATAATAAATTTTGCTAAAACATGTGCGTATTGTTAAATTAAAAATTATGTAATTTTTCTTAATTATTCATTAAAACAACATGTTAATAGATTCTATGAATTATACAACACCTAAAATTTTGCCTCGTTATTTCTTTAATAATTTATATTATAAAAAATTAATTAATTATAAACATATGTTGTTCTATGTTATAATAAACACATTAAACAACTGTGGTAATATTATTATGCTATAATAACAAGCGTTAATAAATAATTTGCTACTGGATAAATATTGTAATACATCACTTGTATTTTTCAAGTAAATTTAAGTGTAGAGAAAGTTACCATCATAAAATTTTGAATCAAAACTGTAATTGACATATAAAATAGTATAAAAGTTTATTAAACAAAAGTATGTCTTTTAAAAATGGGTGTCGAAGAAAAGGGCGATTAATATTTTATTGAACATAAATAAAATACAATACTAATTTGGGACCTAAGCAAACAATATTTCTATGTCAATTTTAAACTTCATGTTTCAACAGTTATTTTATATATTGAAACAGTACCTCATATACTGTACTTGTACCTGTCTAATATCGCATTGTACAATTTTACAAATTGTCTAAATTCACACAATGCTAGCAACCCCATATTGGGGTTTATGATATAATATAGACTTAATTTCACACGTGCGCATTTTTTAATTTCACATATAATTTGAAATACAAATGAATTGCTATTTCATTTGTCTAATAATAATTTTATATGTTCAATTAATAACAAATATTTATTTAAGTTTATTTATAATTACTAATTATATATATGTATATATTAAATTACCGTCGGTAAAAGATATGAGGCCAGGATTTAAGTTTTAGCCCAATTTATTATTAAGTTATAACTAAATATAAAAATTTAAAAGACATCGAGAATATACTGTATTATTGGAAACATATGGCAATTGAAATATTAATATTTAATTATTAAAAGTATTAATTAAATGTTTTAAAATGGATAAAATGTGCACCAAAATTAATATATTCACCTTGATCGTTGTCATTTACTTGACCAACGCAAGTGTAGTCGGGTTTTACAATAATGAAAACGCGACCATGGTGAAAGTATGTGCCTCAACAATACACAGTGGGCTGAGACAATGTTTGGCCACAACTGTACTGACATATCCGACAAACTTTGTAGAGGATATTTGGAATACAACAATGACCATGACTGCCAGCAAATCACCATCAAACTGCGGTTTGTGGCAATTGCTTAATTGCACCAGGTTAGAAGTGAAGGTATGCAAAATAATAGTTTATATAAATACAATATAGTTATTATTAATGATATATTAAATTTATTTAGTTTTAATTTAATAACTTGTTTTACACATGCTGATTTGATGTTGCCTTAAATCACCATAAACATCTAGAACAACTGTCTGCCAAAAACAGTTGACTATATTGAATATCATTTCAATCAAACGACCAAGAACAGTGGATTTCGCTATTGGTTTCCTTATCGAAGATTTCGCTATTGTCATGATTACCCGTACAATACTACCTGTGAGTTCAATACCACTACAACTACCACAACAACAACAACAACAACACCCGTCCCTAATACGACTGGTGGTCCTGTTTATATGTACTTGTAATATCAATTAGTTAATTTAAAATAATTTTATTCTTGTTAGTTTGAGTAATATTGAAAATAATATTTGTAATACACAAACAAATTTAAATGAATTGTCATGTCTCTTGTCTTTTAATAATTTTATATGTTTAATTAATAACAAATATTATTTATCTGAATTTTTTTATAATTACTAATTTTCCATTTTAATATAAAGAAATTTTCCTTATTTTTAAAAATTACCCTTGGTAATAGGTATAAGGCCAGGGTTTGAGTTTTATTCTAATTTATTGTTAAGTTATAAGTTATAACTAACTATAAAAATTTAAAAAACATCGAGAATAAACTGTATTATTGGGAACATATGGCAATTGGTATATTAATATTAAATTATTAAAAATATTAATTAATTTTATTAAAATGGATAAAAACGGCATTAAAATTACAATATTCACCGCGATCGTTGTCATTTACTTGACCAACGCAAGTGTGGCCGGGTTTTACAATAATGAAAACGCGACCATGGTGAAAGTATGCGCCTCAACAATACACAGTGGGCTGAGACAATGTTTGGCCACAACTGTCCTGACATATCCCACAAACTTCATCGAGGATTTTTGGAATTCATCAATGACCAGTACTGCCAGCAAATCACCATGCTGCGGTTTGTGGCAATTGCTTAATTGCACCAGGTCAGAAGTGAAGGTATGCAAAATAATATTTTATAATAATGTATAATGTAAAGTTTTGACTTACAAAGTAATAATCTTTAGTTATTATTAATGATTTATTAAATTAATTTTAATGTTAATTTAATAATTTTGTTTATATATGTTGATTTGATGCTACCTTGAATGACCATGAACATCTAGAACAACTGTCTACAAAAAACAGTTGACTACATTGAATATCATTTCAATGTAACAAAAATGAACAGTGGATTTCGCTATTGCCGTAATTACCCGTACAATACTACTTGTGAGTTCAATACTACCGCAACTTCAACAATAACTCCAACAACAACTTCAACAATAATTCCAACAATAACTCCAACAACAGCAACAACACCCGTCCCTAACACAACTGGTAGTCCTGTTTATATGTACTTGTAATATATCAACAAGTTAATTTGAATAAATTTTGTGCTTGTTAGTTTAAATAATATTTAATTTTAGTTTATAACATTTTTTATATACAGTATGTGTATATTGTTATGCAATAATTTTTTTTATAATAAAAATATATAAATTGAAACAACAGTAATAAAACAACTTATTAATGTAATTTGTAAAATAAATTCCAAACTGTAAATTGTTATTTATTTATCATTATATTGTGTCTTTACATTGTATAAACAAATTTTTGGCAATAGACAATTACAGCAATATAAAGTAAATTTCCTTTTGTCAATACATTTTAACTGATAAATTAGTGAAACCTTTAAATTTTATGTGCATTTAAGATACAATTATTTACCATAGATCATTTAAAAGAAAATTGCCGATGCATATTTAAATTAATTTTAAAATTCAATCATAGTGATTTAGATTTAAACATATAAACAATGTTTGAATTTAAAATGTTTCATATGAAAATGTGGGCACATTAACATAAAACATCCAGAATAACCAATGCTAGTTTGTGTACTAGAGATATACTTATTAATAAAAACAATTTGTTAATTTTAGTTTACATAAACAATTATTTGTTAAAATTAAATATACACAAAAATAAACAGCACCAACAACAGGAATCCCAATTATCACAAACATACTACAGTATCTTGCAAATAGTTGTTTTAGTAATTGTAACTTAAGTTCTAGTTTATACACCTGTATATGACGTTTAATGACATTATATTTTGAATAAATTTGACTTTATTTAATTAAAATTCTGAATCATATAGTAAAATTAAATCTAGACCCAAAATAAATAACACGATGACATTATTGTTTCCATTATTCTAAGCATAATGCATTACAATTAAATGTTTTATAACTTTAATTTTAAGATACAGTTGATATAAAAATAACATTTAGTTAACGTATTAAAATTACAAATATTAATTATATCCTTGTATTATAGTTTGAACGCTGGGCGCAAAGCCAATACGTTTATGACCATAATCAAACACAGTATAATACACACCAATAAACACATCGCCTAAAACCCATGTGGGGTCAGCGCCTCCGGTGGCGAAACCGGACAAACACAGGGTTTCGCCGTCCGGTCCCGTCATTTGTACGATATATTGGGACGGCTTTAGGGGAAACGGTTTCCGACCGATGGTTACCGTAATTACTGGCAAACTATACACGCGATCGCAATCCAGTGTATACTCGCCGTAACCGATGCTTGTATTGGCGCCGAGCAGTGCGTTAATCGCCGTAATCTCATGTGTGGGCCCGACTATGAATGAGCTCCCGGTGTCTACTATAGCCTGACAGCCGTTTAGGCAAAACTCACTGCCCGGTCGACCGGCGCCACCACTGCCTACCCTAACGCTATCTACAGTTATTTGCCAATAGCCGGCCCCAGTAGTCACCGGCGCGTACGTCAAACTCCCGGTATAATGGGTGGGATCTGAGCCGCCGAGAGTCAACTCTCCGCCGGTCTGTGCCCTCACGTCTCGGTTCAGATAGAAGGAGAAGACCGGCGCCGACACCACTCCCTGTGCTATCATATTGTTAAAGAGGGGCACAACTCCGTCGACAGCCGACTGCGGGAATCCCAGCCCTAGTATAAAGTTGATATACAGCATAATATTACTTTATATCAAATAAAATAAAAATCTAGATTTAAACAGTTTATTAACAACATCACGTAAACCAACTAATGGGAAAATAATAATTTATAATAATTAATTTTATTTTTTTGTAAGAAGAAACACACGACCGACGCCACGACTGCCTACCCGAACGCCAATAGCCGGCCCCAGTAGTCACCGGCGCGTACGTCAAACTCCCGGTATAATGGGTGGGATCTGAGCCGCCGAGAGTCAACTCTCCGCCGATCTGTGACTTCACGTCTCGGTTCAGGTAGAAGGAGAAGACCGGCGCCGACACCACTCCCTGTGCTATCATGTTTTGAAACATTGGAGTCACTCCGTCCACAGCCGACTGCGGGAATCCCAGCCCTAGTATACCACTCGCGCCGTAAACAAACTGTATTCCCGGCACAGACAGGGCCTCTGCGAACGTCTGATTGACTACTTTGACTCCACCAATGGTGAGGGTATCGGTGCTGAGGTAACCGCTGGCACTGCCGTATATGTATTGGATTGAAAACGCGGTACCGTTTTTAATATAGGTTGTTGATCTTGATGAATTATAAGTGCTGTGTACTTTACAGGCGCACGACTGGCACCGGACAGAATGCACCATTAGGTTGGAGGTTCCCGTTTGAAACATTACCTGTTTTTTGTACATGGTAGAATTAATTAGTGTATTTTTATGTAATTAATTTTATTTAACATACGCTGAATGGTTGCGGCGGAGTTCCCAGCGATATAAAGCCGCTGTATTCCTGGTTAATAAAGTTGCCCAGGGGCACCGGTAGAGCCTAACCACTGGCTCTGTCATAGGTATCGTCACCAGTACTCACAATATCTAAACTTTTTCTACGTGTTTGACTCCGGGTTGTTTTGAGTTTATGTAGTTTTATACGTATCATTGCATCGATAGTGCCTATTGATAATAATAGGTAGATTGAAAATGCAACTATTAGTGATTTCATTGTTTCAAAATACCCAAATGCAATTATCTACTTTGCTAAACTATTATAAACTCAACTTTTTAGTGAATAATTATAATTTAATACAAAAGTATTGATATATTTGTATCAATTTATTTTATTTTTATTTATTTTATTTAATGTGGTTATAATTATTTAATATGTTAAGTAATTCATACAATTTTATTGCCATACTAAATGTATTGTATTACAGTAATTGTAATCTTTACATGCCTTGCTATCATGTAGGTCAATTTAGTTTATTGATTAAATATTATTTAGTTTGTTACAAACCTTTGTTTAATTTTGTGTAAATGATAAATGTGTCTATTATTTATAATATTCTTAATTAATTTTATTTGTAATTAATGTAATATTATCTTTTTGTAAAAATATAAACACATGTATTGTAATAATATTACAATTATATAGACTATAATATAATTTAAATTATTATTTAAAGTTGTATTCATTGTTAAGATTAAAACTTATTTGGATGTTTCGCTACATAACTATGTTAATAATTTATTTAATTTAACTGCTTAAAATATACTATAAATCAAACCATTTTAAGTTTTAATTGAGAAACAATGAAATACAGGAAAATACAGGAATGTTTGGTAAAATTTTCACAATTATACAGGAAATCCAAAATGTTTTCTGGCAACGCTATATGTATTACATACAGTCCACCATCGGTTTTCAATTATGTGTTGTATTCATTAATGTTAAAATTTAAAAATATCCCGGACTCAATGGAATCACCCCAATGTTATTAACTTAACAAAATTCTCTCGTAATACATATATACGTTGTCATTTATGTTACAGTTAATATTGAAATATTTGTAAAATAATTATTACAGATTTGTATGAAAAATAGAAATGCATTTTTATATTGAAACAAGTAATTAATTTAAACGTTATATGAGTCGTTATTATTGGCAACTCTTGATTATTAATTGTGGATTTTATGTTTTTTGCATAAGACAATAGATATTTTGATCATCTTTGGTGTTCATCGGAGCTTATATTAACTATACTAGTTTTATTATGGTTACATGCAAATTTGTTTTATATAAATGGTTGTTTTGAACTTCTAAACTTTATATATTTAATACAACATTATTAAAAATGATAATACCTAAATAATTTTAACATTTAAAAAGTTAAATCGCTCGATATCTATGATACCTATTAAAATGCGGATTTCATGTTTGTAATCAAGGTGTCGAATTAAAATCTACATCGAATTCATAAATAATATAAATAAATTATTTAAATTTAACATTTTCGAGAAATGACGAGATGTAAAAAAGTATACCTAACTCTGATCATTAGCTAAACTTAAAGTACAATTGACTTTATTGAATCGATAATTTTTATTTTAATTACAGATTATAAAAAATAACTTAATAAACAGTGAAACAATAAAAACAAAATTATATAATACATAAAATTATAAATCGTTATTATAATCGTTATAAAATTTTTTTGACACCTTTAGATTTGTCAGTCAATACAAACTCCGAGTTAATTCAATGATGCGTACCTTTTGATAAGCAAATGCTATAAAATACACAAAAAAAACATTCACTGATCTGTAGAGTGGCCAAATATTTTCAAAAAATTAAAATGAATATGCTAAAAATTTAAACCCCAACGGATGACGTACGGAGGAGTCTATATTTGTCGTAGCAAGTGAATTTATTATTTTGGTGTATTTTATAAAACTAGAATGGACAAAAACAAAAATTATACGCCCGATCGTATGTCTTCCGCAGATAATTACAAGTATTACAGTTAACAAATTAAATAACTATTTTTAATTTAAATTACAGTTATGTTTTATGGTGGTCATCATAATTATTTTGTATATTTAAATTTACATGTATGAAATTCTTTTAACAAAAGTTAATTATCAATTAAGACATTATAATATGTAAAAATGTATAATCAAAAGATTTGTAATACAAAGTTAAACAATTGAAATGTTAAAATAAAAACAATCATTTGAAATCACACGAGAGAATCCATTTTTATAAAGTTACAATGATTACTACTAATATTAGTTGACTTTTACTTAATAATTACAGTTGTTATTTGCGTCACATAACGTTTTAAATTATATTAAAATAAATTTATTATTAATTGGATAACAAATAGATGTTAGAGCAAATTATTTACGTAAAAAACTGCAAAACGTTTTGTCAATTCCGCTAATTTACGGCAATAAAAAGCGTATTTTATGAGCCATACGGTGACCTCATAGCCACTGTCCGTACAATTCGGGTACCGGTCGGCCGTACTCTGCGGTGACGTCACGTTAATGGAAGTCATGTGTTAGTACTCTCTGTTTAATACATGAGTAATTTACATAAATTTTGGATAATTAAAATTAATTAATTAATTAATAATAATATTATTATGTATGCAATTGTATTTCAAGCCAAATGCCCAAAACATAATAGTTACATTATTAAGTATATAAATATGATGTAAACTTTTAAGGGTGCAATATTGTATACTATTATGGTCTATATAACCAAATTATTAATTACTATGATGTTGATCTAAATATATTGTATTATATAAATTCATTTACAGTTTCTAATCAAAATTATTTTGTTACCAAGAACCCATAACAAATTTAATATCTCTATCACAATTATATTGATTGTTAACATAGACTGTAAATTAAATTAAAAGTATTTGTAAATATTTTTTGAATTTGAAATTTATGAGTACAGACTGTCCCACATATATCTCCCTACTGTGTTTTTACATAGAAAACCATTATATGACTACAAAAATATAATCAGGTGTAGATCAGGCATCTGTCGACCGATTTTAATAAACTTGAATGTTTTCAAATAAGTAAAAGCGATACTTTAAATTCTGATACTCATTAATTAATTTTTCTAAAATCCCTAGAATTTCAGCGGCAATATTTAAATTATTTCAAAATATTTACATTTTTGTGAATTATTCAATGAAATCCTATGGAAAAGACTAATTACTTAATAAAATCACCAACGCAAGTATACTCATGATAAATTAAATATTATGTTAAAGTAACAAATTACACACAATGAATATTCTATTGAATTAATATTATCCATTTACAACTACTATATCCAGAATTAGACTAGGTCACAAAATCACTAATATTTGGAATATGATATTTTAACAATAAAATTGATCCTGGTAAACTTAGGGTTTATCAATTATTCTTTAAGGCATACCAAATTAAACGTTTATTATTTGCCTTTAAATTCTGCTAGTTATCGGTAGACAAAATATTTAGCAAAATTGCAAAATTATGTATAATGTAAATGCCGTAAAATAGGGACATATATGTGGGACACGGTTTATATTGGCAAAGAAAAAATTAAATCTAAATTTTTTTAATCTTAAACCTACTTACAATATAAAGTAATTCTATTATTTTTTAGAAAATCAATTAATTAGCTTATTAATTGTTATAATTAATTTATAATATACATTATTAAAATTACAAGTTCTGCTTAACAATAGAAAATACAGATTGTTTGCATAAATTATTTGTCTAAATTATTTACATAAAATCAACACCAAATTCCAGAGATATTTTAATTTATTAAAATTATTGAAATGTTTTTCCCATTATTTTTTGCAATTAACCCAAACTACTTAATAAATTATAATTTAATAATATGATTACCGTTTGTTTAAGTAGAAAAATGTAGAGATAAAAAGCATAAACGTTAATATTTTGGTAAAAGTTGTAGATAAAACTATATATTGCAATATATTGAAATCAGCATCATTATAAAAATTAATTTGTGGTGCTTGTCTTAAAAATAGTACCTTGGTGTTTATGTATTTGGCAAAATTAATTAGTGGTACTTATAAATAATGGTATTTAATTATGTTAAATGGATATGGATGAATAAAATAGTTTCTAAACAGTTTGTACGTGTTTTATAATAAAAAATATTTTTGTTGTAAATACTGGCATTTGTACAGTACTTGTATATTTAATTAAATAATAGATTATTGACACAAAATAAATAAATACATTGCAAACTTCAGCCAAAGATTATTAGAATCTTAGTTAATGATTATTTGTTATATTATATTTAATTTAAATTACAGATGACAAATAAATAATAAAATAAAAATTTATTCCTATTTATAATTAGATAATAATTATTGCATTACTTATAAAGTGTTGACTCGTTATTATTGCTTAATCGTTGGGCAATTACCCACATAAACATATTACCCAAAACCCATGTGGGATCTGACCCGCCGATCGCCACACCGGGCAAACACTGAGTCTCGCCGTCCGGTCTGTTGGACCACATATTGGGACGGTTTTAGGGAAAACGGTTTCCGACCGATGGTTACCGTAATTACTGGCAAACTATACACGCGATCGCAATCCAGTGTATACTCGCCGTAACCGATGTTAGTATTGGCGCCGAGCAGTGCGTTAATTAAAATATTCACAATAAAATATACAACACTAATAAATAACTAAATGATAGTGAATTGGTATAACATTATATTTATAGTTATATTATATTTAATTTACATAATTAATCATAAATATTATCTTAAATGAGATTACCATTATTATACGCATAATGTCTTGCAAACAATTATTTAATTATATTTAATTTAAGATACAGTTTACACATAAATAATATTTAATGGTTTTACTACTGCCATACTATTAGTTGTAGCCGTCTATTATCGGTATTATTTCATGAGTTGGCCTCACAATAATAAACGGCGTTAACATTGGCCTGATGTTATGCATTATATAAATTAATTTACAGTTTCTAATTAAAATTATTTTGTTACCCAGATCCCATAACAAATTTTTATATTTTTATCACAATTATATTGATTGTTAACATAGACTGTAAGTTAAATTAAAAGTAATTGTAGATCTTTTTTAAATATTAAATTTATAAAGATATTGGGTCGTGAGAACTAGAAGAGACATTTTTGGTAATCTTAAATCTACTAACAATATAAAGTAATTATATTATTTAATATAAATTCTATATATTTAATATATTAAAATTATAAGTTCTGCTTAAAAAATACTAAAACTATAAGAGTATTGTGTCCATTATCTTTGTCTATTAACCCAAACTAAATATTTAATCATAATTTACTATAATAACTAAATAATTATTCCAACTATATTATAAATTAAAAAAGAGTTAAGTGAAAAGTTGTAAACACAAAAAAACCTTTACTTTTAAGACTGTATTATAATTTTAAATCATCCATAGAATTGTATTAATATTAAAATTCTAATATAAATGGTTTAAAATCTTTATTTAAAAGTGTTTTTAATTTAATATAAATATAAATATTTTATTATAATAATTTTTAATTAGTAAACA